AAATTAACTATCAGTTAGAAAATATTTACAGAACTTTCTAAAATTATTTCTTAGATGTGGGAGGGTCTGTGAACTATTGTAGATGTAGTTAAAGGAGATAGAGGGTTTGACAAAAGTACGTCATTGTACACAATGAAGAGGGAAGGGGTCGAAAAGTTTCTCAAAAACTGTACGTGTAATTAATGGATGACCCTTATTCGTAATATGATTAATTATATAAAAATAAAACCATTTTAAGTTACTGTATTTTATGGCATGTAAGACACAACTTTTGTCTGAGAAGAAGACTAAAAAATTACTCTGAGTCTTGTAAGTGAAGTTAGGTTAATGAACTTCCCATATGGCTTTCAGTAGGCTAAAGGTAACTTTTACCTAGCCCAAATTGCGAATAAAAATGTTACTGTTTAATTAAACACATTATTATTTTTTGCTAAACTAAGCAGCATTTGCATATATTCATGTAGAATATTTTAATGGTAAATTTTAATTGTAAATGACTTATTTTAAACTCGTCTTTCTCCCTGATAAATAAAAGCATGCATTCTAATTTAAATTTTTTTAACCAGAATACGGTAAAAATATTTTGGGGCCAAGTGCCAAAGGCATTGTATGGCTTAAATATACTAAATACTTTAAAAAGTATTCTGTGCTAAAGTGAGGATTCATTTTTATGTTGTAAAATATAGTAATCTATCAGTTTTAATCAAATGTATAAAATTGTCTGTAGTTCATAATTGTAATTATAAAGGAATTTAAATGATCAAAATTTATGTTAAAGATGATATATTAATTGAAAATTATTACAATTTGAAGAAATTCTTATGAAACTTAGAATTTTAATTAACATTCTATTGTTTGCATTTATTTTAAATGTTGAATATAGATATTTGCTCTCTAAAATGGTCATATCTTATGATATTTCATGATTTTATTTTTCTATCCAGATCAATTGGAATATTTATATCAATTAATATTTTATTAATCCTTAAGCATTTGATGGGAAAATCAAGTTCAATTGCCTGCTCAAAAATATTTTGCTTAATTTAAATATTGAACATTGAGATATATAAATTGTTTTAATTAATGTCAAACTAACATCAGAAATTTTTTCTCTTAATTAAAGATAACAACACATTACATAACTCAAACATTGTATAGAATTTATACTGCATATCTCATTACAAAAAAGATATATATCTCATTAATATAAAATTTATTACATAGGATNTTTCAACTTCATTACTTTTAATAACTTTCAAGGAATACTTTCTAAAATTACTCTAGACATTTCAACAAATGAAGTTAGAAGTTAATGATATATTTTGTCATTATACAATAATTTATTAGAAATTAATATATTTAAATAATAAAAAATAGCCCCAAATTCCTTTGAAATATAACAAAAACTGCTTTGTTGGTGATCACTCTAAATATCAGTTTTACCAAGCACTGTCAGACAAATAAGCTCATTGTCAGGAAACATACAAGTGAATCAGCTCTGAAGCTGTCACCTAAACTTGTTTTATAGATATAAAGAATTTTAAGTGGAAACTGATATTTAGAGTGAGCTCCAACAAAACAGATTTTTGTTACATTAAAAAGGTAGAATGTGATAAAATGAAAGTATAATTATCAATATAGGAAGTGAAATGACTGCTATGTTATATTTAATATCAAAAGTATTGTAATTCAACAAATAATTACCTCTCATTGTTTAATAAATATATATAATAAGTTTCTACACTGTTTTTGTAGAGAATAAATACAGACATTTTAGTGGTATTAATGCATACAAATTTGTTCTTATAAGTCTATTTATTGATACTAGGCTAGTCTTGCATATAAACTAGCACTTAGAAAATATTTATAGAACATTTCAATGTCAGGGGAGTCATTGAACTATTGTACATATAATTAAAAAGGAAAGGGGTTTGCCAAAAGTACATCATTATACACAATAGGGGTCAAAAGTGGCTCAAAAATTTTACACATAATTAATAGATGGTCAAGAGGCCATCCCAATAGAACAAATTTTACCTCAATTATTTTATTTAGCTAGAATAATTAAGACAAATAGAAGTGTTAGTATATTAAGCTTAAAAATGGCAATTTAATAAATTTCAATTTCAAAGTAAATATGCCCTTTCCTGATCAAAAATTTTTTGGAGCAAAAAGAATTACAGAAATTATCATTTGTATTAAAAAAAAGTATTTTGATAAATATCAAATGGAATTTTATTAAACATGCAATGATTAATTCAGGAGATTAACTAAATTGACTAGTTTATCCTTATTTTGGTAAAATTGTATTATTAAGGAGCAAAGTAAATGGTAATGTGCTATAAGTGTTAAGAACATCATGCTAAAGATTTTAATTTTTTTTGTATCAATTAGTTTAAAAAATTCATATATACAAAATAAATGTAATAATCTTTTCAAGAAGTTATTTTGTAAGCTAAGTATCTTTTTAAAGGAATATTTTCAACGTTTTAATTTATGTTTTCATTAGAATAGATTATTAATATTGCATTATTAATAGATTATAGATCAAACACATATTTTTGTCTAAATAAATATATTATTACTGTATTTTCTTTATCAAATGGAAATTTTTATATTCATTTTTTATGTATACTTTTCTCTGTATTTAACTAAGAAAAAGTGTTTGGTCTTAACAATCCAAGTTTTATAATTTGTTTTAAAAATTGTATGAAAATGCCCAGTAATACCAAAAATTAATATTTCTTAAATAAAATAAAAACTATTTTATTAACTTAGCAAGATTGTTTTATGCTGTTTCTTATCACTGCAGTTTTAACTGCAAATATTGCCTGTAGAAAAATCAATCTAATAAATGTAATATTAATGTGAAAGAAAATGCTAAATTAACATAATCAGATAATTTTGTTGACTATTTAAACAAAGAAATTATTTAAATTCTTTGTTGAAACTAAATATTTGTCTTTCATATTTTATTTTCAAGTTAAGTTTTAAATTTTAATTTATCTGAAAATAATTCAGTTAACATTAACAAATTAAACAACTAATGCATTCTTAATTTTTTGAAACATTGAACAAAATGGCTATTGTAGAATGTATAATTACTATGAATTTATAGACTGTATAAATCTATATAGTAATAAGAATCAAATAAAAAGTTATAAATAGAAGTTTAGAACTTTTTATTTGGAATTTTTTTATTCTAAATTTTTAATATACTTTGCTAAATGTTTTTGTTTCAGAGGTGCTACATTTTCTAAACTCTTGCTTCTTACTGAAAATGGAACAGTTTTATGTTGGGAAGATGGTCCAGCTTCAAATCATTTGGTATTTAGAAAATTTAATTTATTTTAATTTAACATCTTAATTTATTAAAGAATATTCAAATGAAAAAATATTTTAAATGTACTTTTAATATATAATCTTTGTATTATTTGAATTAACATTAAGTTTATATTGCACAATACTTATCTAATCTGATGGCAGTATCTTTCATTTCATTTAATACAAAAGTTAGAATTAGAACATTGAACCTTTATACATTTACATGTTTACAAACATATGAAGTATATACTTCAAATTTGAAATGATTAATGTTTTATTAAAAGATAATAAAAAAATGAATCTCTTTCAACTTCATTACTTTTAATAACTTTCAAGGAATACTTTCTAAAATTACTCTAGACATTTCAACAAATGAAGTTAGAAGTTAATGATATATTTTGTCATTATACAATAATTTATTAGAAATTAATATATTTAAATAATAAAAAATAGCCCCAAATTCCTTTGAAATATAACAAAAACTGCTTTGTTGGTGATCACTCTAAATATCAGTTTTACCAAGCACTGTCAGACAAATAAGCTCATTGTCAGGAAACATACAAGTGAATCAGCTCTGAAGCTGTCACCTAAACTTGTTTTATAGATATAAAGAATTTTAAGTGGAAACTGATATTTAGAGTGAGCTCCAACAAAACAGATTTTTGTTACATTAAAAATGTAGTTTATAAATAAATGTATTTTAAAATTAATTTATTTAATCATATCTTTATCTCTAATAAAATGACATTATGGTTCATTTATCCAATAAAATAAATTCAACATAAATATATATTCTCTATCATCAATATTTCACATACTGAGAAGCATATATTTCTTTAAAACCAAAAAGTGAATTTTTTAAAATAGTTTCAAACAAAACAAAATACATTTTTTTTATTTTATTTTAAATAATTATTACAATTATACTTATGAATTCTTTATAAAATTCTAAATTCTAATGAAAAACTCATGATTTAAGTGTCTTTAAATTTTTAAATTATGAGTTTTTCACTAGAATATATATAGTAAAGGAACTATATTTTTTCACAGTAAAATTAAAATGTGATGTAATGGGCATGCAATCAATATTTTATATTATCACTGAAATGCCATGTGCATGTTTTAAGTGTTCAAAAAGTGTATCACATGACACAAACAGGAAATGGTTCCTTCCTCAGTAAAAAACATTAATAAAGCAGTTTCTTATTTATCAAGATCTATAAAATAATAATAATAATCCAAATGTTTCTCAATACATATATATAGTAATAATATATATATATATATATATATATTACTATATATATGTATTGAGNTATACAAATCATTATTTAAATTTTATTGCTAAATTAAACTTATTTAACAATGATTTAATTCTAGCAGTTTTTGTTCTAGTTACTGTATTAGATTTTCCTGTAGAAATCGATTACAACAATTGATATTTTATATTTTGAACATGTGATAATTTATTTAATTTATTAAATATATCTATACTTTTATTTGTTTTTGTAAATGAGTAAAAATTTAAACTTTTGTTAGATTAATTTTTAAATGTTTTGAATTATATTGAAAAATTTACTATTATTAAACAAAAGATATTTTTTCTGATTAAAATTTTTCATGAAATTTTTATTATATATGTGTGTGTGTGTGTGTGTATGTATATATATTATATACTTATACTTTCGTTATCAACCAAAAAAAATTTAAATTATAAATTAATATTTTATGATGTATAAACTTTAGGGATTATGTTTGAGTGGTTGTGAACAACAAGAAGGAAATAAAAAATTTGAAGAAGCATTTATGAATCGATTTCCTGGGTTAACACAATCACTTACAGTTTCAAGTGATACAATAGGTGCAGTGTTTACTGTAAATCCCCAAGGTATTTTCAATATAAATTTCTTTATTAATTTTACTTGAAAATACAGTGGAACCTATAAAGTTGACCATCCTTCACAGGTTAACTACTTTTGTGACCAAATTTTCCTAATGCAAATCATAACATTTTACAATTTGACCCCCTATCTGTTTTGTATATTGATCATTTTAGTCCATACTGACAAAATAGTGATTTATTAAGAAAAATAAGAAATATTCATTCCAAAGCATTTAACTATTTATTCATTAACAATTTATTCATTTAAGCTCTGTTGCTAAAATAAATAAATGCTGCAGGCAGCTCTTGGCTTTTCTATAAAAAGGAAAGTCACATGATTATTTTTTCATACCATAATATTTTATAAAAAGAGTTCCTACATTACCATTTCAGGAATGTTCTAAAAACATGGGTTTTCAATAAACAGCAAAAGCATTGCCATCTATTATAATTAATGATTTCCTTAGATAATAAATAAGTCTGTTGTTGATGCTTATTATTAGCTGTTTCATGGCACTTTCTGAAGAAATAAAAATTAGTCTCTTGTATATATTATTTTCATTATGTTTTAATATATAGCTATTTTTTGGTCTTAATTTTAATTACATTTATTTTAAATGATAGTTATACAGTCTGTTGTACATTTGAGAGGCATGTTAGAAGAGATTTCAAGTTGCTGTCTTAGTTACTGAACAAAAGTTTATGAAGTTGACTATGAAGAAAAGGTATAGTTGATAAATTTGTTTGCTAATTATAATGGATCTGAATTATTAGCTTAACTAAACTTAAAGTTTCCAAGATGACAAGTTTCCTAGATATTGGAAAAAATATTGTTGAAATAATATAACGAAGTCTTTGTAAATTAAATTTGGAAGAGATAAAAATTAAGAAGACTGAATTCAATAAAATCGACATTTTGATGTAAATATGATTCCAATAAATGGGAGAACTGCATTTTTCTATTTCAGTTCTAGAATTCAGGCAGTTCCTAAAATATTTACAGAAGAATTGAATGTGTCAGACTTCTGTTATTTAAATAGATGGCTATAAAGATGTAAAGATGGAAAAAATCTTACATTATCGAACAAGGAATAATTAGTCACAAATCATCAGTGATAATATTGACATTCAATAAATTCTTGTCTTCAGTTCAGTGTAAAGTGAAAGCACATATTATAAGAAGGTATTTAATAATGAGGAAACATATTTTTTCATTGTATTTGGAATGTTTAGTTTTGTCAAGAAAGAGATTAATTGGAATTAAGATTTCTAAATAGCAATTTCTATTAGCTTTTATGCAAGTCTGAGGGATAAAACTCAAAATAATTTATGCTTGAAAAGTAAAAAGTCCTCATTATTTTAAAATTTTTTATCTTAAACTTCCAAAATTGGAAATGGAACTGTAAAACTGAGATTTTTTTTTGAATGGTTGAAAAGTGGTTGACAGCTGTAAACAGACTAATGAAATTCAAGACAAAAATAAAAAACTCACAACTCACCACACTTATATATCAAACACGTACACTGAACCAATATAATGTGTGGTACAAACGACGAAACAAAAAACAAACGTTTTCGAACCTCTTCTAGGTTCTTCCTCAGGTTCCTTTAGCTTTTTAGCTCGTAAATTCGATATTTCAAATAACTTCGTTCTTGCGATCGAACAGTTCTTTTTTAAAAGATGTGTCGCGCATGCCGTTCAAACTAACGACTGCCGTCAACGAAAGACATTAACGAATGTTGTTTAAATAATTTCTTTCTTAAGATCGAACATTTCTTTTAAATTATCCGTCACGCATGCGTGACATGTCCGCTTGCTCGGAAATAACGAGCAGTTAAAGCGTGTTATGTATCAACTCTTGCCAGGCCATCGACAAGATCATCTCCTCTTTAAAATTTATGCACGTGGTTTCGATAGAGGATTTAAAGATGTGCATCGCCTCTAACCACTTGAGATGTTCATTGGGAGGCGCACCGAGGAGGAGATTGGTCCTATTAAAGTCAGCAACTATGCCCGGGTCTGTTGCGTATGTAGCGAGGGCCGTGCTGGTTCTCCCGTGACGAATGTCTGCCTTATGCTCCTGTATTCTGACACCTATGGATCTTTTAGTAGAGCCTATATATATTAAGTCCCTGTCGAATCTGTTATCTCTCAAAGGGACACTATAGACCCCCGGTCTTCTGCTGGGGTTAGGAGGGTCCTTCCCATTCCTTAGGATGTTAAAAATAGTAGGGCACCTCCTGTAAGCAATACTGATTTGGCGCTTCTTGGCGATCTTGTCATATATAGATCTTACATATGGGTT